ACCACAAAAAAGAAAATAAAAAAGAATTTTGTGATCTCTGTTACTATTCTAAAGCTAATAGAATCAAGCTTCCTACCACACTATCCCTTTTTCTTTTTGCTTTAATATGAAAAGAATTGCCTCTACTCTTGGAGACCTGGCTTAATTAGTCTAATCTGATTTTCTACTGGTAAAACTAACACTAAAATGCTATTTCTCTGAGTTCTCTAATTATAGAGCAATCACGCTTTTTCTTAACAGATACTAAAATCAAATGCTATAATGTTGAATGAGGTCATTGTGAATAGCTTATTATAAGATCTATTTTGAGGTACCACATGAATTTCTGTGAATATTATGCAGTGACAAGAAGCAACAGATATAGTTTACTGCAGAAAAAAATATGAATTGTTACTATAATTTGTATAAACAGGAATAAGTTTCATAAGTCATTTTATAAGAATGACCATAACCTCCTGTTATCTACCATACTCCCTTACTGATTTCCACTCCTTTAATCATCTCTTTGTTGTTGTTTTTTAAACATAACCTGAACGCTTGCTCAGCCTTTACAGTAATAGTCTCACCAACATTACTATCTTGAATTTCTGCTTATCTAATATGTCAAATCCCAGCCCAGAGTCAACCATATGTTCTCTACTATTGCTTCCAGTTTGCCAAGCACTGCTGGAGAAAACAGTATAAATGCTGATTCAACAAATGACAAATCTGCATTTCCCATACTCACCCTGACCCTTAGCTCTACTTGGCAATCGATTCATTTTTATCTGTTGGCCTCTTTTTCCTTTATAACTGTTAAGGGTTATAAAGTTTAAGTCCTCACTCTTCCACGATTTCCTACTATGTTTCTTTAATCAATAGCTTACCTAACTTTCTATTGCAGGAAAATTTCGCATTTAATTTCCTTTCTTTCCACTTCTAATGTACAGGAAAGGAGCTTCATCCTCCCTCCCCTTGTCCAAGAAATAACATAGCTTATAATATCCCTTTTCAATGCTTTTTTGTTATTGTTTTAAACTCTTCACTATACAAAGGTTTTTGTTGCAAGGCAAATATTCTCCTTGGATGTCATATTTCTTATAACAAGAAATGGGCATATTGCAAGTTGAAGAAATGAGAATGTTCAGAATGTTAGGAAATAATAAATGCTCATTCACTGTAGAACAAAGGACATAAAAATATTAAGTGTTCTTCTGCTTTCAGTCATCTGCAAGCAAAGACAAAGTAAGGTGAGTTGTGTTTTAAAAATCTAACATAATGTTACAACTTGAAGCTTAAAGAAACGTTGCTTTAACTGTCAATGCCATTTTTGTCTTCTGGTAATTGCCACATCTATAAGCTATGAATAAATAACAGTCTGATTAATTACTTGTTTTCATTGAATGAGGAAAAGTAAAATGCTTTTCCTCATTCAGTCCAATTTTTTCATAGAATTCCTAGTACAACCATTGTCAATTACATATCATATACCTGATATGACTCTTGTAATTTAATGCCATATTATACCAGTTATCAAACAAAATTTCTGTTACACATATATTTTTTAGAAAAAGTGCATGAAGTGACTGCCTATAAACAAGTTTTGATATAGAGCAATCTTAGGAAACATGTTTCCTATGTAATTACGAATATATCTAGGTTTTATGGGACATTGAATTGTATGTAATTTGGGGAGTTCTTTCTTTACAAAATAGCAGCAGCAGCAGCACTGTCCTCCCAGTGTTCATCTATTTGCTCAAGTGGGCATCAGTAACGTCTCCATTGTGAGACTTCTTGTTACTGTTTTTGGCATATCGAATATGTCACAGGTAGCTTGCCGGGTAAGACAAACACCCTACCCGCTGTGCTATCGCTCCAGCCCATTATTCTATGTATATTACCATTTCTGCCATCGAGACAGGGAGAATATAAAATTATTAATACAAAATGAGGCATAGACTTATAAGTCTACGGATGGAGCTGGAGAGTTCATATAGGACTAAGGTGCTTGCCTTACATGCAATTGATTCTTCCCCTGAGTATTGCTAGGAGTAATTCTTGAGTACAAAGACAAGAGTAAGCCCTGGGCATTGCCAGATGTGATCCCAAAACACACAGACACACACACACACAGAGTATGTGAAAATAAAGGGAACAATAACTTCATATAAATAAGCTTTTTTTGGGTATCTGATGACTTAGATTATGAAACAATCCCCAAACACAAAAACTCATTAAAACATGAACTGACTTGAGTCAAGAACTTCACATATTACATTTCATTCTCACCTGTTTTTTTTAAATTTACTATTCTAATATTTTAAGTGTGGGAATTAAGACTCAAAGAATTTAGCAACTTGCTCACAATTAGCTCACTGTTCACAATGAAGTTAAATTCTGAAGTCTTGTGTTTTTTCCACTATAATACCCTGCCTTATAGTTTCCTAAGGTTTCCTTCCCAAAAGAAAAGGATTTGTTGCTTTAAAAATGCAAGGAGAGTGTTAAGTAGAAATCATCTGCCTCACAGGCATTGGGTGGGGTGGAAGGGGGGGTATATTGAGATTATTGGTGGTGAAAAATAAGTACTGGTGAAGGGAAAGGTGTTTGATCATTGTATGAGTCCCGATCACGGTCCTCCCGTTGTTCATCGATTTGCTCGAGCAGTAACGTCTCCATTGTGACACTTGTTACTGTGTTTGGCATATCGAATACATCACGGGGAGCTTGCCAGGCTTTGCCGTGTGGGCAAGATACTCTCGGTAGCTTGCCGGGCTCTTCAAGAGGGCGGAGGAATCGAACTCGGGTCTGCCATATTGGCTGCATGTAAGGCAAACGCCCTACCGCTGTGCTATCGCTCCAGCTCATCATTGTATGACTGAGACTTAAACCTGAAAGCTTTGTGACTTTTCCCACAGTGATTCAATAAATAAATATAACAAAAAAAATGCAAGAAAATTCTGTTAATAGTTGAAACTGACAAAGATTATTTCATTTTAAGAAAGTCTCTAAAAATACTGCTATTTAAACTTGTGTTTAAAGCATGAAGAAATGTAAAACTCATTGGATTGCCTTCTTCTCACTAAATGACATAGAAAAATACAGGAAATATTTGATTATAGGAGAAATATGATTTTAATATGGAAAGGAAAATATGAAGGCAGAATGAGAATCCCGAGAGGAGTCTTATTGCAGCCTCCCAAGAAAGATCCAGGTTATGAAAGGACATGTTGACAGTATGAATCTTTCACAAACTATATCCTCTTGCTAAGTGTCAATATTATCATACATTGGAATTGATCTAAATAGCAAAGTTGTGATAATTGGCTCATATATTAGTATTTCATTTTCGTGTTTTGTATTTACCAGCTTGGCCTAACATTTCTCAAGTTATTCTCTTTCAATTTCTTCTTTTTTTTTTTAAATGTAGGAGTAGTGCTATTTATTCAGCCATTGATTAAGTTGATTGAATTGGGCATGAATTCCACATTACACTTTTAAATTCAGAATGTTAATTTAATTTTATTTTTAATTATTATTTTTTAATCATCGTGCGATACAGTTATGAAGCTTTCTTGTTCGGGTTTCAGTCATACAATGATTGATTACCCAACCCTCCACCACTGCACATCTTCCACCACCAACGTCCCCAGTATCATCCTCATACCGCCCCTCCCCCTGCGTCTATGGCAGACAATCTCCCCCATACTCTCTTTTGTATTGCTTGTTATGGCATAGCATAAGATGTTGCAGGTCTGTGAGAGCGACTGTGTGCTCCTGGAATTCTAAAATTTTAGATAATTAGGGTCTGGAGAAATCTCTACAGTGAGCTGCTTGGTTCGGATATTCTTTTGTGTGTTTCTGGATCATGGCTGTTAAGATGCTTAAGTCCCAGCTAGAGGCAGTTTGTGGGCATGACCTCCAAGGTCCCTTGGGCCAGAGGGATCAGAGGAATGGGCCATCCCCTATCCATTGAGGCCTGGAGTTTGCTGTCACTGAACCTGTGTACCTGCCTTTCTCATTGGGTTCTGGAAGTTGGCAGCCACCGGGGGTTGGTGGAGGGATGACACCTACACCTGTCTGAGGCACCCCAGTGAAGTCAGCCTGACTTAATGTCCGGAGGCATCTATGCAGCAAACTGCTCGGCTTGGAGATTCTTTTTTGTGTTTCTGGATCATAGCCCTTGTTTCCATCTTTTCCAGAGAAATAAACTATTGGGTTATGCCCTGCAGGGTGGCCCACTCGCCCGAAGCACACCCCACCACTGGGCCTAACTGCAGCTTGTGATCTCTTTCGAGATTTATGGGTCTCTGAAATAAGATCAATAAATGAGCTTATATAGCTGAGCTGGAGGTGGTTTGTGGGTGTGGTTTCCACATGCCTAACTTTTGGCTGTTTAATTTATTGGTAAACTTGGTCCCAAGTTGTTGGGGTCCCACCAAAGGCACAGCAGCAATTTGGGGTTGTCAGGAAGACTGAAGACACCACCAGGCTGCTGATACACTTGCCCTGCAGGTACAGGTTGACCTGATGGTGGCACCATACCCCCATTCTATCAACTTCTACCTATCTTTCTCCCTCATAGAATCCAGCATTGTGTCCTGTAAATAACAGGACACAAAACTTGGAGGTTTATAATCATGAAAGATGTTTTTGATGAAGAATTTTTGACAGGCTACCATTTTATAATACAGTAAGAATTCCATAATAAAGATATCCAGATTTAGTTCATATTTACTGACTTCAGAATACAACAGTTGGTATATGGCTAAAATGAAGTCAAGAACTGGAGTAAGTTAATATTTTAGTCAGTAAGCTGGCAATGATGGAGGAGTTTACTTAATGAGCTGTTGATATTATGGTCTTAAAGCCATTATGACATCAAGATATAGCTAAAATCAGTCCAAGGCAACAGGAGTTTTAAGAACAGCAGCATATATAATAATGACTTAACTGAATAGGACAAAAAGGCACATATTTTCACAAATACCTTTTCATTCTTGGATTAGAAGTTTACTTCCAAGATGGCAAGTGAAACAAACTCTGTGGGCTCCTACTTGACCTCCCAAGCAAGGTAAGTCTGACTGAAAATGCCAAGTGATAACTATCCAGGGAGGAAAAGAGGGCCGCTATTATTAACCTAGGTTAAAGGCAGACATTATGGTGTTTCTTCCCACAGAAGTTCTAAAATAGATGACAACTACTTGAAGGAATTAAATGAGGATTTAGAGCTAAGGAAGCAGGAACTCCTGGAAATGCTAAAACCTGTAGAAGATGAGAACCCTCTCTTATTACAGAAGTTAATGTTTAACTTGGAAGAAAAACAAAAAAGGTATGGGGTTCCTAGTAAAGATTTTGTATCAATATAAAGAGTGGAGAATTGTAATTTATAGAATTAAAAATGATTAACATAAGGGTTAGCAGTGATTATTTACATTTTTAAAAATATCTAGACAATCAGCTCTAATTGGTAAAACAATGAAAATCAGAGTTACAAGGAATGTACATGTACATATATACATATTATATACATATATAAGTGAAATTAAGATAAGACTCAGCCCTTATCTCATAGAACTATAATTATTCTTCTTCTTTAGCTATGGTCAAAGCACCCACTACTACAACCCAGCAAGTCAGACTTCTCTCTGAGCAAGATAAAGTTCTAGTGCTCTCTACACAGAACCAAGGACAATATAATGACCATAAAGATAAGCTGATGCTTTTAAAGAATATCCACCAGGGTGGGGGGAGATAAAAAAATGAATATTCACAGTTAAATATCTATTTTGTTAGTAGAAACTTAATATTCTATTTTTTCTATTTTTTTCTGGGCCGTACCCAGCAGTTCTCAGTGATTACTCCTAGTTCTACTAATAGGTCTATGTTCAGGGGATCATCTATGGTTCAGAGATCAAACCTAGGTCAATTGTGTACAAGCAAAGCGCTGTATCTGCCATACTATCCCTCTGCCCATATTAGAAACTCCTCAATTGTTTGACTTCTATGGGATCATCATGAGGATTATGAGGTGAGCAAGTATCTTAAATTCACATAAATGTCTGCAAGTGAAGAAAGTGGGGGAAGTAAAAAACATGAAGTAGAGAATAATTCTTGCTTTTATTCTAAAGACAATATTTTCTTTAACCTCGTTATTCACACAGACAAATGTATTTTCTATCTCAAAATCCATACATCAAAGCATTTTTAAAGGGTAAAGACTCACTTTTGGACATCGAAGTCTAAAGTAGAGAACAGAATTCATTACAGAGCAAAGAGCTAAGGCAAATATCAATTAGAAACAAAATCCTTCCAAAGATACTATATCAGAGGACTTTCCTATGTATTGTGATTTCATTCCTTATCTTACTCACATTGTGAGTTGCAAACTGGTTGCAAATGTTAATATTACACTTAGGCAATTTTTTGTGCTAATGATGTCTTTCTCTTCTAGTCTGCAAATCATGAGGCAAATCTTGGCAAAGAAGGAGAGTGATAACTCCTCAGTCACGGAGCTCATTAAGGAAGCAGAGGAGATGAAGCAAAATCTGGTAAGTTAGTGGATGCACCAGAAAACAACCTCCTGAACAGGGCTCAATTCCACTGCTATTGTCAGATATGAAAGAAAATACATATCCATTTTTTAAAAATGATATTAGTAGCTCCTTTACTCTGGAGAGTCCATGAATAGCTCAAGGGATAAAATCCAAAAAGCAAAAACTAGAGAACAGAATTTCTATTTGATTATATAAAAATTTGGTTTATAAATACAAGCATTTCAGAAAGAAGAAAAAGTATCTATCAAAATTTTCTCCAACATATTCTTTTAGAAGACTTTTAAAAATCAGAATATACAGAATCTTAAAAGTGAGACATTAGAAATTTTAGTCTGGAGAAAGTGCCATATGATTAAAACATCTTAGCATTATTAAATATGAGAAACTCATTTCTATTGATATTACCACATAATCATAATTCAAGTTATTATTCAAAATTATTGTTATTTTTACCATCAAACTCATTTCTAAATTTGAAACTAGGCCTGTTCATTGCCTTTCTCTTTGACTAACTGTATTACTTCCTACTCAATAATTTACTCAATAATTTCTTCCAATTTTATTTTAATGAGTGGACAAACACATATTTCTGTTTGGTTTTTACCCCTCCAACAGGAAAGGAAAAACATGATGCTTCGGAATGAAATGGAGATGCTATGGAACAAGGCCTGCCTCTAAGGAATTTTTGACAGTATTGTCTTACAGACCATAATATCAAGAATTTACCTGTCCTCAATCCCCCCTGCTCATTTTTTAAATGTCCCTGCTTCCACTCATGCCTCAATCTAATTCACTCTTTGTATAGCAAAGTAATCTTTGTAAGACAAAAAATATTCTGTCACTTCTTATGAAAATCTCTTTAACCTCTCTTATTATGGCATGTTCCAGCTCTGACTGACCTCTCTGGTTTCCTTTCATAGAAGTCCTTCTCTGACTTTCAATGCAGCCACTTACAGGCCTCCTTGTGTGTTTTTAAAAATATGCCTAAATTTTTCCCCTATCTCAAGACTTTTGCTCTTAATTTATATTTGGTCTGTAACACTATTGTCTAATGGCTGGCTCATTCTCATTCTTTAGTCTCATCTTAAATATAATCTCCTTAGAGAGGCCCTCCTTGTTCACTCCATCTAAAATAGGGCAAACCAACACCACTTTCTATTGAACAACTCTTCGTAAGACTTTTTATAAGGTTATTATGTTTTGAAAAATTATTTTTATTTTCCCCTCTGAAATGTGCACTCCTCTAATATCTAGATTGGTTGTTCATCTCTGTATCCCAAGCACCTAGAACAATCCATGGAACATAGTAGGAAATAATAATTTGAATGAACAAATGAACAAATTAGAACATCTATTCAAAGAATGAAGTAGAACAAATGAATGAACTAGAAACAAATGAAAATCTGTGATTTTTCAATAATTGTTATATTGCTTAAGAACAATAGTCAACAATTAAGCACAATAGTCGGTCCTTTTTCTGAGAAATAAGAGGGGATGAAAATTCATTTGAAGATCACGTTCTCAGGACTGCGTACTTTTCCAGGAGACTGGAAGAACAGATTGTCTTGTGATATAAATGGGTATGTGGTGTGATTTCTGATTGCTTTTTAAATTTTACTTTACACAAATAATAGCGATCCCATCAAGTCCTGTATATTATACTGAGATAGTCTCCTAATTCTCAATGATAGCTAGAAGTTAGTCTTTTAAAATTATCAGAAGTTTTAGTTTCTAAATTCTTGAGTCTTTGTGGCAGGAAGTATTGTAACACAATTCCTCAATCAAAAACCAGCTTTTCTATAGGGCTCCCAAAAGACTTCTTAGCTTGTGATTGACTTTCCCACCCTATATCTTTAGACAAGAGCAAAATATCTAGCAATTAACAACATAGACTTTAGAGTCTAAGAAATAGGGAAGCATTTTTCTACCAAAGGTTATTTAGACATTTATAACATAATTTGTGGATCAAACAATATAGGCAGAATCTGCATGCCTATTCTGTCATGTACCAGGGCCAGAATACGTGATTTCACATCCCTATATATAGCCCACAAGCCAGACATATAGGTCAACCTCACCCCCACCCCCCATGATCTAAAGTTGTCTTATTCATACTGAAGTTCTGGTTCTTGGATGCAAAACCCTACACAAATGACTCAGCCTCTCCAACCCTCAGTTTTCTTTTTCCTTTATTTTTTTGGGTGGTGTTGGTGGATGGGTGGGGTTGACCTATACCTGGCTGTACGCAGAGATTACTCCAGGCTCTGTGCTCAAGAACACTTCCTGGTGGTACTCTCAGGAGATTATATGTGTGCTGGGATCAAACTCAAGTTGATTGTATCCAAGGTAAGTACCTTAACCTTTGTGATATCTTTCTGGCTCAAGACTGTTCTCTAATATTAAAAAATGAAATTAAAAATTCCATGAGAAGGCCAAATTAATAGTACAAGGTTTGTTCCCTGGAATTTGGACTTTCTGGGCCTCTCCAAGAGTGATCCCTGAGCAAATAGATAGGAATAAACCCTGAGCAGCACCAGATATGGCCCTAAAACAAAACAAAACAAAACAAATATTCCATGAGGATTAATTGAGAAGGTTTTTGATGTTAATAGAATAGTATAAGCAATATAGTATGTAATTTATAGTACTGATTCACTTATAAGGGCTCAGCTAACAGTTTTTATTATTTATTTATTTATTTTGCTTTTTGGGTCACACCTGGCGATGCTCAGGGGCTACTTCTAGCTATGCACTGATTACTCCTGGCCATGCTCTGGGGACCATATGAAATGCTGGGAATCGAACCCAGGTCGGCCACAAGCAAGGCAAACGCTTTACCCACTGTGCTATCACTCCAGCCCCCTAACAGTTTTAATTTTATGGTATAGTTAAGGGGAAAAGTGGAAGAGTTCATTCAATTCTAGACACCCTTTGGTACACTTCTCACATGAGGAAATTACTGAGAAATTATTGACTGGCAGTAACAAAATGTCTTGATCCTTCTGGGATTTCTATTTCCTTTACTAATTTCCACTAAAAAAGTCTCCCTTAAAAAGGAGGAGTGTGGCCCAAGACCCCTACTAGACATCTGGAGTCATGGATAGTACCAATTCTTAATTAATGTTATATTTTGTTCTATATACACATATTTATAATAAACTTTATAAACAAGTGCAGTGAGAGATAACAATCACAACAATAATAAAAATAGGACAATTATACCGTAATAAAAGTTATGTTATCTCTTTCAAAATGTCTTTTTAACATTTATTTTTATTAAAGTACCATGATTTACAAAGTTGTTTGTGATACAGCTGTTTTAGCATTCAGTGTTCCAACATCACCAGCATGACCTTCCCTCTACCATTGTCCCCAGTTTCCCTCACAAACCCAACATAACAAATAACATGACAAAGTTTATATTTCTTGTTTTAATAAAACTTAAATGGCAAAGAGAACGACCAGAAAATAAATCAATAAAAAACAATTTGTGATTGCTATATGATTTTAACTATGTAGCACTGTCCTCCCGTTGCTCGATTTAGCCTATGTAAATAATGAAACTAAAATTATTTAATGCAATATAATGACTATTTTCATTTAGACAAGTAAGTTTTCAACTCTAAAATCTAAAATTTATTGCATTAAATTTTATTTTGTACTTGGATGTCATAATAGTAATAATTATGTCTTACCTGTCAAAAATATACTTAAAAATTTGTGCTAATATATTTTGTAATTTACAGGGAATAGGTAAAGATTACATATGTAAGTTTTTCTCTACATTTTCTTTAAACATTTTGGTTTACAAAGCTGTTCATGACGATTCGTTATAGGCCTTAAATGTTACAATCCCACCACTACTGTCACCTTCTCTCCACTATTCTCTCTAATCACCCTTTAAGCCTGCCCCTATAGCAGGCCCACAATAATTTATTTTGTATTGCTTTTTACCAAGAAATTGCTAACAAAATGATCAAAAATACTTCCTTAGAAGAAAATAAGTGTAAATTGTTGTATCTCATCATGGAGATATTAAGTACTTGTATGACGGATTACTAAGATGTTACAAGTTAAGGCTTCTGTGTTAATGTTTTTGATAGCTGAGAGTTGTTGGCTTCTATGTTACATCCCATCCAATCTGGTGTGCTACTATTGGATTGTCAGTGTTGTAGAGTCTGGAGATGTTGTACGGCCACATACTCCAGAAAATTGAGAATTTTTAACTGGGTGGTACAGCTAGAGTTAAATTTTTAACTGAGCAGCAACTTTGCGGTGTGGGCATGACTACTGTGACTTCTGAAAATACAGGGAGGTGAGGAGAGGTAGCCCATCAGAACTCCAAGTAGGCCTGGAGATTTCAGTCACAGAGACCCATGTATCTGAGTTTCTGACAGATTAATTTTTCTGTGACACTTGGTCCTGAGGCAGTGGAATGCAGCTAGAGGCATGGCGGCAGCTTTGGAGTGCTGGTGCACGCACTTGCCAGAGCTTTGTTTGGGTGGCTGCTGGCCTCCCCTCCTCCAAAGTGCCCTTAATATCTCAGCCAGGAATTGGTGCCTGAGGAATTTTTGCAGCTAGTTGATGTCTTTTGAGATTTATTTATGAGTCTCTGGAGGAAGGCCGGTAGATGAGCTTACATGGTGAAGGAGGTGGTTCATGGGCATGATTGCCAGCGCTTCCAGAAGTACAGGGAGGTGGGGGCAGATAGTCCAACCTGACTGTGAGAAGGCCGGAGATTTTAGTCACAGGGACCCTTTGTACCTGCATTTTTGGCAGGTTAATTTCTTGTGTTAATTTCTAGGACTATGAAGTCCATCTGGAGGCATGGAGGTGACTCTGGCCTCAAAGTATCTTACATGCACCATTTTGGGATGCCAACTGGCCTTATGTAACTGAAATCACAGAAAATAAAACCATGAGTAAGTATGGGACAATATTAATTTAAAGCTCTGCTAAATCTTTCTCTACAGACATCTGACAAAGAAGAAATGAATAATCAGCAAAAATCACCACAGATAAAAAGAAAGGAAAACTTGAAAGATGAAAAGGCAAGTGGACTGCATAGCACTTAGAATTTCAAGGTTTTGATGTTACACAGCCAGAAAGAACCTGTTGGTAATTAGAGCTACTTTAACTAGGCAGACAGGTAGGACCTAGACCTAGGTCTTTAGCATTTATTGAATTTACTATTGAATCCTGGGTCTTTAGCATATATTGAATTTACTATTTGCCAAGACATTCCACTTCTTTTTTTTTTCTTTTTGGGTCACACCCAGCAATGCACAGGGGTTACTCCTGGCTCTGCGCTCAGGAATTACCCCTGGCGGTGCTCAGAGGACCTTATGGGATGCTGGGAATTGAACCCGTGTTGGCCGCGTGCAAGGCAAATGACCTACCTACTGTGCTATTGCTCCAGCCCCGACATTACACTTCTTTTCTGTGATCTTCTACTTTTCTGTGATCTTTACTCTCTAATTTCAGGCTCTCAAATTTCCCATTTCACTGAGAAAGACCAAGAATGAATTGGAGACATCAAATTCAGAGAAAGCAAAGGTAATTTAAACTTTGTAAACAATAATTGCCCTTTTTTTTTGCAGTGATTTGGGGCGGGGGGGAGTGATGGTTAGGCCACATCTAGCTGTGCTCTGGGCTTACTCCTAACTCGGTGCTCAGAGATCACTCCTGGTGCTACTCAGAGGATCATAAGCAGTGCCAGGAATCCTACCAGAGTCAGCTACATGCAAGGCAAGCACTTACCCGTCTATTATGTCTCCAGCCCCTGTAGAAGCTTTTAGAGATGAAGAATTAGAAATATTTGGTAGGGGAAGGAGTGTTTAAAAGAAGGTTTGGCCACATTGGTCATTGCTCTGGATCTGAGCACTGTTTTTAGCAATCAATTTTGGTGGTGATTGGGAGACGATATGTGGTTGTCAGAGATTCTAACCAGTCAGAAGGATGAAAAACAAGTGCCTTAACCTTTATACTATCTCTCCATCCTCAAGAGTTAGAAATTTTCTATGTAACAACAATGAATCTACAGTGTATTCTAAAGCTGATGAGAATTTTCACAGGGGATCTGGTTCCATTTGGATATTATATTTTTGTCAGTGTGACACTGAAATTTCCTAGGAAATCATGTTAGCTAGGGCAAAGTGAGATGAGCCATACTGGTAATAACAACTCTGCAATTGTTATGTGATGTCCAAAACACTTGTGTATTTTTCTAAGTCAATTTATTGGGGGGGGGGTTGGTATTTGTACCACACCTGGTGATGCTTGGGCTTATTCCTGGCTCATTGTCCAGGAATCACTCCTGGCAGGCTTGGGGAACTGTGTAAACTCAAAAAAGACGAAAGTGGCAGTGACTGTATCTCTCCCGCCACCCGCGTTTGGTAGTCTCACGCCGGTTCCCCCACCCGGGAGAGGTTGATGATGATGGGAAGGTGAAGAAAGGAAAGAGGGCCAGGCTGGTTGATGTCAGTTGCAGTTTATTCCAATCCTCTCTCCATCCACTCCTGTCTCTCTCCTCTGCCTCCCCTCCTGCTTCTTCTTCCCCCATGCTACTTCATTCTCCTTCTCAATCCCCTTCATCCTCCCTCTCGCCCTGGAATCTGGATACTGATCCAGATTCCCTTACTCCTCTTGCTCTGGAGTCTGGATTCTGATCCCCCAGCCCACTCTTAGAGTACAGTTAAATCCCAAAGCATGAGGGGTTGGGGTAACAATTACACATAGGTGTGGTCACAATAGGGGTAGAATTCTAGGACAGATGATACTCTCTTAGCAGGATGACCCACCCTAGAGCGAAATCCCATGGGTGTGTTTCTCCTTTCCTGGTCCAACAAACATATAAGCATTCATAATATAAATCATTTTGTATAGATACAGTAAGAAATACTTTAAACTTATAGAATTGCTCTCCTAGGGCCATCTTGATCTCAGACTACACTGCCCAGGCCAGATAGTCTTTCTATCCCTAGCAGGGTTCTAGTCTCATTGTTGCTTTTACATCATGACAGCATTTGTCTATGATCATACTCCTAACTTATAGTTAAGAATCGTGGCACTCTCTTTTGCAGACCACAACACCCAAAAGGAGAGAGAGAACACAGGGGATTGCCCTGCCAGAGAGACAGGGGGGATAGGGGGATGGGGGTGGGAGGGATATTATCCATGGTGGTGGAAAATGGGCACTGGTGGAGGGATGGGTATCTGATCATTGTATAATTGAAACCAAAGCACAAAAAATTGTAAATTTACAACTGTAAAAAAAAGAAAAGAAAAACAAAAAAAAATTAAATACCTGGAGAATAAAACAAAAAATGCATTTTATTTTCAAAAAAAAAAAAAAGAATCGTGGCACTTTGGTCTGGCCCATTTTGATGCAGGGTAGCTCACCGCTTGACCTGGGTCCATTCAGTCCCTCATTGGGACCCTGCTTTTGGGGTGTTAGGAACCAAGGGCAACTGAGGCTTAAGTCGAGAAAGCAAATGTCCGGGAGTGAATAATATTCAGAGCCAATTAAATCCTAAGTTACAAAGCATAATATTAAGTCTTCCTGTATCTATACAAAAAGGGCATTGCTTTAAAGTAAAGGTAAAAGGTAAAGGCCCTCCCGTTGATCGTCGATTTGCTCGAGCGGGCCCAGTAATGTCTCCATTGGAGACTTTGTTGTTACTGTGTCTGGCATATCTCCGAGAGGGGCGGAGGAATCGAACTCGGGTCGGCCATGTTGGCCGCTTGTAAGGCGAAATGCCCTACCTGCTGTGCTATCGCTCCAGCCCCGCTTTAAAGTAAACTATTCAAAAGACATAAGGAGAGAAGAAAGGCAATATTAACTTACAATACAATTTCAGTGTCCTAGAAGGATCTGACCTTACAAACTAACAGATTCTGATACGGGGGGGAAAGCTGACTAACTGGTTGGGGAGGAGAGCAGAGAGAAGTGGTTACAGATAAACGAAGTAATGGGAGTGCCTCAGGAGCACCATGATGGGTATAACCTGATAAACCTAAGCTCCTGTGGCAAGGGAGAAAAGACAAAGCAATGTTATCCTACAGGGAACCATATAGGGTGTTTGAGATCGAATCCAGGTTGGCCATATGCAAGGCAAATGTTATTATTACCCACTGTACTATCTCACTGCTCCCATCAGAACATTTATTATTTGTGTTTGAAAATTTATTTAGAGGTATTACGCTTGTGTCTAATATTACAACCAACTCAATTTATAGAAAATTATTCAATTCAATTAGTTTTTAGCTTTTGGAGAGTGAAGCCAATTAAGAGTTCTGTGCAGTAGGAACCAATTTATTAGTGATTAATGGCACCATAATTTTGCTAGAAAATGTTTGCAGCCTTGAGAAACCTGACTTCTGATGTCAATTTGCTTTGTCACCCAGAAGTTCTTTCTTCCATCAGGAAAAGCAACAGATAGGTAGCAGGATCAAACCAGTCTCCTTTAGATATTTAGGTCTTCCAAAGCTGGACATAGGAAGAATTTAATCCAAATAGAGTAAAGGCTTATAGTTTCATAATGTTAAGCATAATTCTCTCATCATGATTACGAATTGTCCTGTTAAAAGAGATGTTTTCAAGAAAGATAACTGGAGAAACTTTAAAAATTGTTTTGGGTTTTTGTTTCGTTTTGTTTTGTTTTGAAGCCACAGCTGGTGGTGTTCAGGGCTTACTATGGGCTCTGTTCTTTCACTCCTGGCCATTCTCTAAGGATCTTATGTGGTACCAGAAATTGAACTGAGCTGGCCACGTGCAAGGCAGGAGCCTTAACTATATTTCCTTAGTTATCTTAACTATAATATCTTTCCAATTATCACAAGAAATTTATCTCCAATTTCACCTTAAGTAATCTGAGATAAATAGTGTTGTTTACTTGATATTGCTTGATTTTAAATATGGAAAAAATAAAATTTTTAAATTTTAAATTTAAATTTTAAAATACTAAACAATGGTGAAATATTTTTCGGGCTTCTAAGTATAAAGAATATAGGTGTCTGAATTTAGAGAAGCAAAGATTAGAAGTTTTGGGTAATACTCTCTTGTAGTATGATTTTCATGGCAAAGTGATTGAGCTGAAAATTGAAGAGTTAAAGAACTACCAGAAGGTAAAAGACCAGAAAGTATCACTGTATTTAGAGGAGAAAGTGGAGCCTAAACAAGCATTCTTGATTCTCCCTGGGTCCCAAGGTAAGTAGAATAACATAAGTATACGGTAAGCACACGGCTTAAAGGTTTGGTTTGGTTTTACACTGAGATCTCATTACTTGTCAAGTGATCAACATGAACAACTGGAAGGCACACAGGAAGATAAAGGTTAGTAGTGTTAAACTGTGTCATAATCATCATTATTACTTAGAAGTTCTTACACAAAGGTAAGGCTTTCTGTGGATGAAATAAAATTCTGCACAAAGACTGTATAGTACATATGTAGCTTGTCATTGTTGGTACTTAATAAAGTGTTAAATTCTCCACCTCTCTACTTTCTTAGGAATTAGAGTAGTTAAATACCATGAATATTTGTGGAATAGAATTTATTACAGAAGACTAATGAAATAGACATATAACAATATTTCTGTTTAGTTTCACTGATACAAATATTCTTCTGGGAGATTTTATAATCCCCCACCTTAAATAATGCATGACATTACAAGGGAAAATCTTATGGTTCACCATGAAAGAATAAAAGAATGTCTTCTGAGGAGCAGGTAGAACAGGTTCTTACTTTTTCAGGGATCTATCATTACAAACTACAAATTCTTTTAAAGATGACATATGAAATGAGAAATCATGCCATACATGACAACATTATGGAGCTGGAGAGATAGTACAGCAGGTAGAACTGCTTGACTTGCATGCAGCTGAGCCAGGCTCAATTCTCAACACCCAATATGATTCCTGAGCCCCACCAGGAGTGATCCCTGAGTGCAAAGCCAGGAGTAAGCCTGGGGCACTGCTGAATATGGCCCCAAAAACAGAACAAAAAGGATAAGAAAGATTTAACTTTGTGTATCTCTAATTTATTTTTAATCTTATGCCATAAATGGCTTGATCAATATATAAAATCACATAGGATTAAATGAGTAAATCAAAACAGAAATAGAGTTGAAAATAGTTAATGTACGAAAATGCATAACACAAATAACAAAACTGGCAAGAGTAAGATTCAAACTTTATTCTGAAATTCCCAGAAAAAGAAACGTGGATCTTCTGGGTCTACAAAGTGAAAATAAGCTAATTGCTCAGGAGAAACAAAGCTTTTACTGGTTCTTACAGAAGAAAAACTTTCTTCTACAGGTAGTCATTTTGAGGATTGTATGATCTATGTTAGTTATAGTAGCCATTATCCTCAACAATATTTGAAAAATAAATTTATAATCCAAATTTACAAGGCTGTTTTTTATGTGTCTTGGCATAATCTGATGAGAAACTATAAATTTCAAATTTTTTAAAGTGAGGAATGAGCTTGAGTTGGCTTAGGTAAGTGGCTCTTTTGTTAGTCTGGGTTGATCCATGTGTGAATTTTTGAAGATCTATAGCAATAGTTTTCAAATTTGTCACAACTGTGGACAAGTACCATTCCATAGACAAGTAGTTTAAAACCAGTTTTAGAGACAAGCACTGATCTGGAAAAGTGGATAAAATGAATATCCTCCAGCCGGGTTCCTATTCACATTTTTTTTTCAGCTGTCATTTTGATAAGAATTGGCAGCAGAAAATTTTAGATTATATTCACCAACAAGAACCTGGAATGCAACCAGAAGCAATATAAAGTCATTAAGGTTTGAAGTAAAAAAGATAGGGAGGGGAGATTTCCCTTTGATTTCATTAAAAATTAGCTGAAGGTCATTTGAGAGATCCTCATAGGGATCTCTCAAAAGCCCAAAATCATTTAGCTCGGGATCCAAATGAAGCTAATATAAGTAGTGACGTGTTCCACTCAACTTAGTCATTTCAGTAGATATTTTCCCCTTTGCTTGTAGAACATCAAATCAACTTTAGAACAAGTTAACACTCTCCTTTTTCTTTTTCTCCTCTGATTCTTCTAGAGTATTAAATGATAAGATATTAAACTGCTTAGTTCTATGAACAAATGTAGCCATCGGCATGATTTACCCACTGGTTTGATATCTTTTTGATTGCACAGTCATTGAGCACTAATCATAAACTAGCTTAATATTCTAACTCACACGTATATAAAATCTTTGGGTTCAGATTCACTGGATCTGAAATATATAGAACCCTACATTTTTTGTTATGCTGATCTACTTAGAGCCTAGTGTTTACTGGCAAAAAGCAAAAGAAATCTCTACAGGAGAAAATTTAAGTTAATTATATTGTAGTCACCAAAAGTGGTATGATAAGTATTTAAGTAGCGCTCAATGTTTCCCAACTTCTGTGTTACTTGAACAGTTGCTTATTCAATATTTTCTTTTACACGGAATTTTAAAAATTTCTTAGATGTATTTATTGAAAATAAAATTTATATTTGTTTTAAATGAAAAATCAATATAGAAATAAACTTAGAGCAATACAAAAACAAAACTTTAATATCCTACAAGATATTAGAGTCTAAGGCATGTTTTATCTTCATTAGGAAGTAAGGATTAGCAAGATGCATAGAATTTTAAGAAAATTGGCATCAAATTTATGTTTTTTCCTTAATCCTGGCACACTTTAAAAGAATTGAAAATGGAGTAACTTAGGTGATTTTTCATTGTCATTTGTTGTATCTATGTTACAGAATCACCTAAATTTTTCTCACTTGTCACCTAAAATGATCTATTAAATTTTTGAAAATAATGATTTCACGGGAAAAAAACCAATTTTCTAAATGTGTAATTTTTAAAAACAAATTTAAGTGGTTTAAAACATTTTAAATTGAGATTCTGTGGTTTAAAATGCTATTTATAATAATTTCTCAAGCACATAATTCCCACACCACACCCGGCACCAGAAAAGAGCACTAAATTTAGTGTCTCTTATATGAGTTATTGAACTTGCTCTGAGGTAATCTGAGCAAGTCATTCAGCTTTAGATTCTCTAACCATTTATAATGACCATTACACATTCATTACAGACCATGTTGAAAAATGTGGTTTTTAGCAACCCTCAAATGACGAGTATTATAGAACAAGAAACATATAAGTCCGTTTTAATTTTTAAAATTCTTATTTATTGAGATTCTGTGATTTACAAGAGTGTTTATGATGGCTTCTCATACACATAATTTCAGAAGTCAATTTTCCGACTTTGTGTCCAAAGCTTATCTCCTAGAATATGCTACAAAATAATAAAACTATATGTTAAGTGATTTATAATAAATATTTAATTTATAGACTATTATTTGAGTCCAAACTTAATGTTGCTTAATATTTAATTTTCCAGTGAAGAAAAACTTTCTAAGTTTAATTTGTTCCGTAGAAAGGAAACCTTTTCAGAATGGGTTGACATGTTTGTAATTCTACATTTATTCCAGTAGGTGGCGCCAACCACATCCAGGCTTCTAATCCACTAATGGTAGTAGTTAGGGAATGTAAAATGTTTATGTGGAAGCACTGGGTTTTCTACTACTTTTAGTACAAAATGTGCTCTCTACATACTTGGCAAAATGAAAGAAGAAATAAATATTGATATTTTCTGCCATGTTTGTAGTATTCAAGGTGTATTTATGGCTGCCTTGATAGATCATATTAAATTTAATATTATTGTTCTACTTCAGTCCCCTCCATTCCAAAAATACTCACTTCCTTCAAAATACCTGCATACTAGGTTTTTTCTATCACAAATTAATCAGGAAATTACAGCAGTAGAATGAAAAATAGGTTGGAAATTGCATAAGGAGGTGTTTTTGAAGTTCAAATACTTGTTCAGTTCCCAAATAGTGTTTCCTTTTTCTAATTTAAAAAGAATCAACTTTCACCAACCTGTCTTAAGCAAAGAATGGTATGTAATGGTTGGACACACTTCTAGCACTTCAGGGTACAGGTCTTTCATTCCAGGCCTTTTTAAGTAGAGGGAGGGTTTTCCCCACAGCTCTGAGCCAAGAATTTCTCTTTTCACATTAACTCTCTGGTAAACTGGTTGGCTGCCTCACATGGTGTGATACATTTGGTTGGCAAGTTAATACCTTTGCTAATACTACTGACTTTGCTACACTTTAAGCAATCCCTACTTGCACATTGCCTTGAGGTTCAAAGTGCACTATATTGCCAAGTTTTAGAGAAAACTAACCCATTTTAGAGTTAGGGTGAAGTTTTTCCTTTTTGGTCTTTCAGGGACAAGTCACATATTAAAGTCTTTATTCCTGCATCACGTAAAATTACAGTTTTGACCCCAGTTAGATGACAGCTATTCCCTGGCTTCTGTAGAGTTAAGAGGACAGAGTTAAGAGAAAGAAGAGGCCTTTGCCATCACCCATCTCAAAAAGCACTGACAAAAAGTAAACTTTAAATTTGGCTAAATTTCACATCATACTTGCTGGTAATAAAACATTTCATTCTGACAGTCTTGCTTTACTCTTCTGCCACCCCCTTTCCAAAAAAATATCTACCCCCCCCCTTGCCCTTTTTTTCCTCTAGCTCTTTTGGGAAGAACCTGAAGGTTGGATGTCAGTATCTTGCTCACTTCCTTACAAATTTAGACATAAGTCCACTGAAATAGGAAATGAATATACTCCAGAAGCCTTATTTATTCTATAACTCCTTCCACTCTGAAAGCAAATCATCCTTTCCACCCAGCTTTAACCTTTACTTCACTTCAGTATTACTCTTCCTGATGGAGAAAAGACACTCTAGCAGGTGCTGATGAGAGGAAAATAGTCACATTCAGCTAAAATGCTGAAAGGGGCAGAGGCCTACAGCTAGCTCAAAACTAGATCCTTGATAAATAGTATTGCTCTCAAATATAGGATTTTTTAAAGCTTTGGGGTGATTTCAACATTTTTGAAGTCAAAGTTTAGGTTTGTGCTACCAGTAGCTTATAAAATTTACTTGTAAACCTGATCATTCTTTCACTTCCCATAAAAACTCATAGGAAAATTCAGAGGGGGAATAAAATTCCTTTTTCCTAAAAATGTAAGTTTTGAAGCTTGAGTAAAATGTATACTATGCTTATTGATATATTTATCACTTCATAAAGAACACAAAAATTTTTTACATTGCACATACAAGAGATCAGTAGGATGTTTA